TACCCAGCCAGGTCATTTTAACTTGTAACTCGTTAAGATAAGTAACTTGATAAGACACCTGGGAACATTCCCACGAGGAGGCAAGGAAAAAAGAAATGCACAGCTGAAGAATCTAAACCCAAATCCAGTTAGTTTGAAAAAAGCACTACAAGGCTAGCAAGCAGGTCAGCAGCATGCACTCCTAGTACATGGGTGCTCTTGATGGGATGGAGCTACGCTGGTTGGTACACGGCGCCGCACACCTGAAGTCTTCTCCTCTAACTTCAAAAATAAGGAAGCCCCACCAATTTATGGAGGTTCTGTGAGATGCACCACAGCTAAAAATGGTTGCAGGTAGCCAGCTGGTGAGAGAGCTTGGGTACTCACTCCGGCCAGCGATTTCTGGATATTCTCCCTGGCTCTGGCAATGTCGCGTAGGATCGTGCTGGCTCCGTTCTCCTGCAAACAGTGCAGAAAGAACCAAGATGTTTTGGGGTTTGTTTGTTTTTTTTTTTTAAATTAAAAAATATGAAACATGGGAAACTGCACAGGGAGGAGAAAAAAAGTGAAACATGGGAAAGTGCTCAGGGAATGAAAGAAAAAAAAAAAGAGGGGGGGAGAGTAGGGGAGGGTTCCTTGCAATGATTCAGCGTCACAGAATTGGTGGCAAGGATGGGATCTAAATCCACTGCAATCCCTGGTCACGTCAGGCCACGTGTCCAGAAGATCATCCAGACAAGAGCTTTTCAAAAGCTCTGTCATTATCCTGAAGGGTTTAGACAGCTGCCAGCCAGTCAGAGGGTTGGAGTCACTCCAGTGCTCCTCGGATCTGTTTGTGTGGTGTTACTTGTCATCGTATTCAGGCAAGAAGGGACAGCCCTGACTGAAGTCTTCTAACCAGAGAGGTCTACCTACCTCTACCTACCAGAGTATGGAAGCACAAGGATTTTCCCCCCCATTTTCCTGCCATGCCTTAGCCTAGATTTGGAAAATTCCCTTCTCAGGGCACAAACTCAGTTTCCATGATCCATTTCCATTTGCCTCTCCCAGGCTGCAACCCCACAAGCAAGATCTGAGATGTGAAACTGTCCCCAAGCCCAAACCCCCCTGTGTCAAACAGACCACAGAAGAGCAACAGCCTGGACACATCCAGGTGGTTCCCACTTCCAGGTTGCAGGAAAGGTTTTAAGGAGTGTGGATCTCTTTCCTTAGCAGGGATGTGGCTGATAAAAGTGCTGCAGAATCTCCACCAGAGTCTTCACACCACCTCTCACGGGCAGAACCTCTTCCCTGGAAGATCTTTAGGTGGCATGAAATGGCCCTCACTGCTCTTCTAAGAGTGCTACAGGGGGTTGCACTTCAACACCCACTTCAGGAGCTCATCTACAGCTTTTCATTTTGAATTCAAGTGTCCTGCAGGTGGTATGCCACCATTACACCAGCATGGGCAGCAGGAACAGACAAGAGTGTGCCTAGAAGCTGTAGCTTCAGCCAGAAGCTTCAACACAAGGCAAGGCAGCCATTGGAAACTCTCAAGCAGCTTTCTACAGAACCAACCCAATGCAGAAGCAGTTAAACAGCTCTTGACATAGCAGAAGGAGGTTATGATAGCTCTGGACCTTCCAACACGAATAATCTGGGGCTAATATTCAAGCCTGAACAACTTCAGCTGCAGCAACACCATGCTTGTCCCCCACCTTCCCCCCCAGACTCACCAGTACTGGGATGCAGTCTCCTGCAGGAGCACACTGGGATGTTTCAGGGGTAACAAGGAGAGGAATGGAACTCCTGGTCTCTTTGGAGCCACAGTGCCTCTTTTTAAACATCCTGACATTCTACAAAACCTAACCCTTGCCAAGGGGTAGGTTTAGCTGCTCCAAAAGAGCATCTTCCCTGGCTGAATAGGGACAGGAAGGTGTCCCTGTCCATGCAGAGGGGTTGGAACTAGATTATCTTCTGTGTACCTTCCAACCCAAATCATTCCATGATTGACCCATCAGAGTCAACAGAACTGCAGCTCTGAGGGCTTGTGGTTCAAACTGTGTTGCCTGTTAGATGACAGAGAGCATCTTTGCCCTGTCACTGCAGCCTGGCAAGGTGAAGAGTAGGAACTGCTGTAGCCTGTGATTGTTGTTGGAAGGGTGTTTAATCTCCCAGTACACTGGTTGTACTGGAGAAACTCTTCCTGGAAGAAATTCTTCACTGTGAGGATGGTGAGACCCTGGCCCAGGTTGCCCAGGGAAGCTGTGGCTGCCCCATCCCTGGCAGTGTTGAAGGGCAGGTTGGATGGGGCTTGGAGCAGCCTGGGCTGGTGGGAGGTGTCCCTGTCCTGCTGGCAGCTCAGTGCTTCGCTACCCAGCCAGGTCATTTTAACTTGTAACTCGTTAAGATAAGTAACTTGATAAGACACCTGGGAACATTCCCACGAGGAGGCAAGGAAAAAAGAAATGCACAGCTGAAGAATCTAAACCCAAATCCAGTTAGTTTGAAAAAAGCACTACAAGGCTAGCAAGCAGGTCAGCAGCATGCACTCCTAGTACATGGGTGCTCTTGATGGGATGGAGCTACGCTGGTTGGTACACGGCGCCGCACACCTGAAGTCTTCTCCTCTAACTTCAAAAATAAGGAAGCCCCACCAATTTATGGAGGTTCTGTGAGATGCACCACAGCTAAAAATGGTTGCAGGTAGCCAGCTGGTGAGAGAGCTTGGGTACTCACTCCGGCCAGCGATTTCTGGATATTCTCCCTGGCTCTGGCAATGTCGCGTAGGATCGTGCTGGCTCCGTTCTCCTGCAAACAGTGCAGAAAGAACCAAGATGTTTTGGGGTTTGTTTGTTTTTTTTTTTAAATTAAAAAATATGAAACATGGGAAACTGCACAGGGAGGAGAAAAAAAGTGAAACATGGGAAAGTGCTCAGGGAATGAAAGAAAAAAAAAAAGAGGGGGGGAGAGTAGGGGAGGGTTCCTTGCAATGATTCAGCGTCACAGAATTGGTGGCAAGGATGGGATCTAAATCCACTGCAATCCCTGGTCACGTCAGGCCACGTGTCCAGAAGATCATCCAGACAAGAGCTTTTCAAAAGCTCTGTCATTATCCTGAAGGGTTTAGACAGCTGCCAGCCAGTCAGAGGGTTGGAGTCACTCCAGTGCTCCTCGGATCTGTTTGTGTGGTGTTACTTGTCATCGTATTCAGGCAAGAAGGGACAGCCCTGACTGAAGTCTTCTAACCAGAGAGGTCTACCTACCTCTACCTACCAGAGTATGGAAGCACAAGGATTTTCCCCCCCATTTTCCTGCCATGCCTTAGCCTAGATTTGGAAAATTCCCTTCTCAGGGCACAAACTCAGTTTCCATGATCCATTTCCATTTGCCTCTCCCAGGCTGCAACCCCACAAGCAAGATCTGAGATGTGAAACTGTCCAAGCCCAAACCCCCCTGTGTCAAACAGACCACAGAAGAGCAACAGCCTGGACACATCCAGGTGGTTCCCACTTCCAGGTTGCAGGAAAGGTTTTAAGGAGTGTGGATCTCTTTCCTTAGCAGGGATGTGGCTGATAAAAGTGCTGCAGAATCTCCACCAGAGTCTTCACACCACCTCTCACGGGCAGAACCTCTTCCCTGGAAGATCTTTAGGTGGCATGAAATGGCCCTCACTGCTCTTCTAAGAGTGCTACAGGGGGTTGCACTTCAACACCCACTTCAGGAGCTCATCTACAGCTTTTCATTTTGAATTCAAGTGTCCTGCAGGTGGTATGCCACCATTACACCAGCATGGGCAGCAGGAACAGACAAGAGTGTGCCTAGAAGCTGTAGCTTCAGCCAGAAGCTTCAACACAAGGCAAGGCAGCCATTGGAAACTCTCAAGCAGCTTTCTACAGAACCAACCCAATGCAGAAGCAGTTAAACAGCTCTTGACATAGCAGAAGGAGGTTATGATAGCTCTGGACCTTCCAACACGAATAATCTGGGGCTAATATTCAAGCCTGAACAACTTCAGCTGCAGCAACACCATGCTTGTCCCCCACCTTCCCCCCCAGACTCACCAGTACTGGGATGCAGTCTCCTGCAGGAGCACACTGGGATGTTTCAGGGGTAACAAGGAGAGGAATGGAACTCCTGGTCTCTTTGGAGCCACAGTGCCTCTTTTTAAACATCCTGACATTCTACAAAACCTAACCCTTGCCAAGGGGTAGGTTTAGCTGCTCCAAAAGAGCATCTTCCCTGGCTGAATAGGGACAGGAAGGTGTCCCTGTCCATGCAGAGGGGTTGGAACTAGATTATCTTCTGTGTACCTTCCAACCCAAATCATTCCATGATTGACCCATCAGAGTCAACAGAACTGCAGCTCTGAGGGCTTGTGGTTCAAACTGTGTTGCCTGTTAGATGACAGAGAGCATCTTTGCCCTGTCACTGCAGCCTGGCAAGGTGAAGAGTAGGAACTGCTGTAGCCTGTGATTGTTGTTGGAAGGGTGTTTAATCTCCCAGTACACTGGTTGTACTGGAGAAACTCTTCCTGGAAGAAATTCTTCACTGTGAGGATGGTGAGACCCTGGCCCAGGTTGCCCAGGGAAGCTGTGGCTGCCCCATCCCTGGCAGTGTTGAAGGGCAGGTTGCATGGGGCTTGGAGCAGCCTGGGCTGGTGGGAGGTGTCCCTGCCCATGCAGGGGGGTTTGATCTACATAATCTTACGTCCCTTCCAACCCAAACCATCCCATGACTCACAGCCCACAGATGATCTTTCAAAAGGCTTCATAACTGGGGGGGGGAAGCTTAGTGAGCTCCAGAGAAGACTCTCACACTTGGAAAAAGCAGCCCAGCAAGAGTGGAAATAACACAAAAGAGCACACCCAGGTGGACAGTGGCCTTTTGCCTGCCCTGTAGTGGCTCTGAAAGCTCCAGCCCACCTGCCACAAACCCCACCTGAGCAGCAGCCTCACCTGCTGGCGTGGTGAGCTGCCAACTGGCCCATTCATCTGCTCATAGTATCTTCTCTCCGCGTCGTCGTACTTGTACTTCTCAAACCAGACCTTCTCATGCACCAAGTAGTCCACTGCCATTTTTCTGCAGGAAGGGAAGAAAAACCAAACAAACAACACCAAAACAACAATCAAGTGAGCTCCTAAAAGTACTTCAGCTTGCAGTGAGCTGGTCAGGAGAGCATTTTCTTCCCTGTGCCTGCTGCTCTCTGGTTTCCCCTCTGGTGGGAAGCTTTAACAGGATCCTCTTAAGCAAGTAGGGCAGTTTGATCAACCCCTCCACCTGACCTGACCAAGGGGGGACAGAATAAACCAGCTGCTCCCTACCCTCTTCCACAAAAACAAAGCTTTCAGAGCAGGGTTTTCTAGACCACTCTGGGCACAGGGGAGTTTGCTAAGAAAGAGGTCTCGTGCATGAGACTCCAAAGAAAAAGGGAATGTATTTTAATTCTTAAAATAGCTGGACTAATACTCAGCTATGTGCCAGCAGGAGGGAGCACTGAGTGTGACAGGAGACTCCTGCCACTGCAGCTCACTCATTTAAACAAGTTTCAACCCTCTTTGGGTTGAAACTGCACTGACAGCAATTTTTGGCTATCTCAGGCTAGTACACATCACCAGCAAGCTGCTCAAGGTACACAACCCAATCTTCCCAGAAGGAACAGCCCAGCACCCAGAGCATTCCAGCCTCCAGGAATCTAGATGCACAACTTAAAACAGCATCACAGATGCCCTTTTGGGAGCTGCTGCATGTGTTTGGAAATTAAAATCATCAGCAATGTGACAATTTGGGAGGGACACACATTTGTAATTACAAGGAAGAACAGCAGGAAACATCCTCATGCTGCTGTGAAATGCTCCAAGTTACTTTTCTTCAGTGCAGCAGCTTCCAAAAGTTGTTTAATTTCTTAACTTGAAGGGAAATTATGGAGCCCTTGCAATTATGAGAAAATGATGTGCCCCGATTTCGAGCCAGGGGACAGAAAACAGAGCCAAGAGGAGTCTGAAGATGTGGGGAGAGCAGAAGAAGGGGATTCCTTATATAAGGAACAATTTCTTCCTGGCAAGGGTTGTCAGGGCCTGGCCCAGGCTGCCCAAGGCAGGGGTGGAGTCCCCATCCTTGGAGGGGTTTCCAAGCCCTGTAGGTGCTGAGGGACACGGGGCAGTGGTGGCCTTGGCAAGGCTGGGGGAACAGTGGGATCAGAGGATCTTAAAGGTCTTTCCCAATCAAAAGGTTGGAACACACCATCACCAGATTCCACCACACAACTAGGAGCAACCCACAAGCCCTTTCCTCATCAGCTCAATACCTCACAGGTCTCCAATAAAACACTTTGACAGAAGCCAGCAGGTAATGTCTTCTGGAACACAAACAAACAAGCATCTTTCTCATCTACCTACTCAAAAGACACCAGAGGCCACCACTCCAGACAGGTCCTCTACACTGAAACCATCCCCAGAACTCAACCCTCCAAGACCCCACTTGAGCTGCCAACCAGTATCACCAAGAGAGAACCCCAGACAAATTTATGCCACTTATTTTAGAAAGGACATTGTGGACTTTCCTGGGGAAGGAGTGAAGGACTTGACCAACTATCTACTCCTGTCCAACTGAAGAGAAAATTATCCCAAACAGGACAGTGTGAAAATGCATGTGTGCCTTAAACCCTGTATCACCTGACATAAAGATCTTAAAACCTTCCAGACAATTCAAAGAAAGGATTTTTGGCATAAAAGTGTCAGAAGAGAAGGACTGATGCTCCAAGAGCCTTTTTTCCAAGAACATCAGTCACTGCAAAACAACATCTAAGCCTTCAGATAGGATTCCAGGGCCTTCCAGCCCTCCAGGCAGCAGACTTTGAGGTTCAGTCACCTATAAAAGCACATTTTAAACACTGTGGTATCATCCTGGACCTCACCCAGGCCATAAAAGGCAGCCTTTAAATGTTTGTAAATTGATTTATAACAGCCAGGACCATGAAGGTCACCTACCACTTGAGAAGAAACTCTTCCTACCCAGCTGCATCCACTCACATCCAACCAGCTGTAACCCAGCCAGCCTTGGCCCAAAATTAACAGCAGCTTCCAGGCCAAATGGTTTAACAGATTAGAAAGGTCAGTTTCTCCCGTGATGGAGCAAATACAGCACATGCTCCCACCAGACTGACACCTTAAACTGCATTTCACTCTCATCTCCCAAGCTGGATGCTTGTGGTGATGCTCAAATGTCTTGCATGGAACTCGAGGACCAGCTCAGGTGCTCTGAAGAACTGGGATAAGAGCTTCTCTGAAAGAACTTTTTGGCTTTTTGACAAATTTACAGCTAATCACCACCATTAATTTCTCAGATTCAAGGACAAAACACTCAGAGGTCTCAGCAGACAATTCCACACATGATGACTCCCTCTCATCTTTATGGCTTTTTGCATGGAATACTCATCTAGAAAGGGGAACAGCTTAAGTTTCCCCCCCCCATGCAAAGAGGAGGACCAACCTTAGCTCACCTCCCAGCCCTGACTTTAAACCCTGAACCTCTGGCACCACACAAAGTACTACCTTGAGCCACCAGCATTCACCAGAAGGAGGTTCCTTGAAGGATAGATGGGATAGGAGGAAAATTTTCTTCCCTGAAAGGGTTGTCAGGGCCTGGCCCAGGCTGCCCAGGGCAGGGGTGGAGTCCCCATCCCTGGAGGGGTTTCCAAGCCCTGGAGATGGTGCTGAGGGACATGGGGCAGTGGTGGCCTTGGCAGTGCTGGGGGAATTGTTGGACTGGATGATCTTCAAGGTCTTTTCCAACCAAAATGACTCTACAAGGAGTTTCCCTGAGTTAGCCTGCCCACAAACAGGCTCCCTGGCTCAGGAGCAGTGTCTCCCTACAGTGACAGCCCAGGAATACAAATGTATTCTAGGCTGCACCATAAGAAAAGCGGCCAGCAGGGCCAGAGAGGGCATCCCTCATTTTTGCTCCACTCTGCTAAGATCCCCAGCCCCCCCGCAGTGCTGGGGCCAGAGCTGGCCTATAAGGAGGACACAGAGCTGTTGGAGCAAGTCCAGATGAGGTCCCGGAGGTGATGGGAGGTCTGGAGCAGCTCTGCTCTAGAGACAGGCTGGGAGAGTTGGGGTGTTCAGCCTGGAGAAGAGAAGGCTCCAGGGAGACCTGAGAGCACCTTCCAGTGCCTGAAGGGGCTCCAGGAAAGCTGGGGAGGGGCTTGGGACAAGGGCAGGGAGGGATGGGAGCAGGGGGAAGGGTTTCCAGCTGGCAGAGGGAGCTGGAGTTGAGATGGGAGGGAGAAATTCTTTGCTGTGAGGGTGCAGCGCCCCTGGCCCAGGTTGCCCAGGGAAGCTGTGGCTGCCCCATCCCTGGCAGTGTTGAAGGGCAGGTTGGATGGGGCTTGGAGCAGCCTGGGCTGGTGGGAGGTGTCCCTGCCCATAGCAGGGCGGTTGGAACTAAATGCTCTTTAAGGTCCCTCCCAACCCAAACCATTCCATGCTCCTCTGCCATGCAGGCTCAGGTCCTGCAGACACAAAGGACACCCAAGTCTTCTACACATGCAAATCCCTTCAGCTCACTCCTGACCAGGAATTGTGCACGTGTTACCCCAGAATAAACTTCTCCTACTTCTTTTCTGGCACCAGGACGCTGGAAGCAGAAGGAGCTGGTTGGGAGGGATTTACTACAGCAGATTCCTCCACCCCTGTCCTCTCTCCTGGTCTTGCCATGCCCAGGGCCTCAGCTGCATAGAATCGTGACTCGGCGCTGTCGTACGTCGGCTTGTTAAGCCACACAGTCTCACTGTCCTCATGTAGGAAAAAGCAGGTAGGTGGAGAGTTGGTGGCCATCTCCAGGTGCTTGGTGACCACTTCCTCTCCAGCTCTGTGGCCCTTCCTGTCCTCATGGGGGTTCTTCAGCCCTTGCTGCTGCCCAGCTTGGCCCAATGGATGCCCATCAAACATGTTCTCGTAGAAGATCTTCTCGGCACCGTCATAGAGAGGCTTCTCCAGCCACACCTCGGACATGAGAGCCTGCAAGCTTGAAATCTGTGGCTTTCCCATTACTGTCTCCCGGGCACAACGCCG